TTCTAACGACACCAAAGACCTTCATCCTTTCTGTTCTACACGTCTACGAAGTTAACAAGTTTTAGGGATTAGTTTTAGCTCCATTAGCGTATCTTAATATACATCAAAGTTAAATTTCCGTTCGTTAGTTTCGCATATCGGTATTATCCAGGCCATTGTTTTCGAAAAGCTTGAAGAAATCATTAAGGAACAAAAGTTCGTTTTAATAGGAAACATAATCTTTTACAAAGTCGACATATCGGATTTTCATTGATATTCCCAGTATACATTTCTTTGCACTCATTTTAATTGTAGATTATTTGCCTTATCAACAATTACAAGAAATCATGTATTATTTACAGTTTTTATAAAAACAGTTTTCTTTATTTTCATTTATATATAAGTAATGCTTCAATTAAAATCTGTTACCATAATTTTTTATCTTTTTGAAACTTTGAAAAACTACTTGAAATATATGTATAGAAAGTCCTATAAAATAGTGTTATTTTTCATATAAATTTTGAATTATTAAGATCTTAGAAAATTGTGAAAAAGTAGAACATTCTTTTACAAAAAATGTGATAATATTAAAGAATATTTCATTTTAATTGTATTTTAACAAAAATTTCCTTCCTTTATTTCATTTAATCTTCATTTTTACTTTCATGAAATTAACTCAATGTTTTTTGTTAAATCTTATAATAGTTTAAATATTAATTAACAATGATAATATTAAAGTCCTTTAATGTAATTTAAAGTTTTGTTTTATTTAATTTAATAGTCATAATAATAGTTTGTAATTTAATTGTGTTTAAAATTATAATTAAAGCCACAATTATTTATGATTATTTTAATCATTTCAAGAGTTATAAAAAAAAATTAGTAGAAACATTTACTAAATTTCATATTCATATTATTAAAGTTCTAATTTTTGAAAGAACTACTCGAAATGAAGCCTCAAAGTTGTAGCAGATGTTGGCTGGAATTATATTGTGGATGATTGAAAACGATTTCCTGGATTGCGGAAATAACACGCATTTCTGCAACCAAATGTCAAAATGACTGATAAATATCTATATTTCCTTCATTTAGAGTTCACAAAAGATAATTTCAAGGACGATAGATTTATAATTAATTTAATTATACTTGCAATAAGGAAAATGTAAATTATTCTTTATTATTTTAATTAAATCAATTATATAAAAATACATAATTTTTTATTGAATATTTCAATCTTATTAACAAATATTACAATATTTTTTAATTGAATTATTATTTTTTATTTCATTGATAATAAAAACAAAGGAAATAAAAAACTGTTTTTTATTTTTTACATACAATTAATATTAATCTATGTAATAATTTTTTATTGCGGAATTAATAATTAATTTGTTTTTACCACTAATATTTCAATATCAACTTAACAAATATTACAATTGCCATATTATTTTGCGAAAGGATCAATTTTTAATTGATTTTTCTTCAAGATTTACCATGGATTGAATATAACATAATAACAAAGTTAAGAAATTGTAAATTCAAAATTCAAATATTGAACTATTAAGTCTGTAAAAGAATAATTTCTTAATAATCTCAAATTCTATTAACTTCGTGGATCTTTCAAAAAAAGTATATTTCAAATACCAAAAAAACAACACAAAATACTATCCTATTTACTTAGTATTGTTTAAAGAATTCTGGAGAAGAATTTTTGTACTTTTTCTGATGCATCAAATTGCCGAAATCCCAAATTATAGCATTTTTTTCATATTTAAGTTCCATGTTATTGTTAAGTAGACATCCTTGATATTCCTTATATAATCTAAAAGCAATAGAAGACATTGATGTTCCCTATTACAGATTGAAACGACGCAGCTGTAAGTCTTTCAGTAGTACGAATCTGTAATCGCTTTCTACTCGAAATCAATTAATATTCTGTACAAAAGTGAACATTGTCGCCTCATGTATTGACTTGATTTTCTTATGCTATAATGCTTCATCGTGATGTGTTATTGGAAGCCAAATCCGAATAAGAAACACAATACGCGACATTCAATGACTGCTTCTCTCTATGTATGTAAGCGCATGTTTTGTTGTTTGTCGTCGTCGTCGTCGTTGTGCTTTTGTTATTGTACGAAATATAATGGGCAGGCTTTATTTCGTTGGTCGTTTCTATTTTGGTCCGAACACATTACCGACCGACCACCGTCGATGACAAAATCACTGCCAAAAAAAAGAATGGTAAAGCTACTGAAAACGCGTAACGACGCATTATTTCCTTACTGCGAACGCATAAAATTCCAACATTTTGCGGAACGACCGCAATTTTACTACATTGTAAAGAAATTGATACAAATTTAAACGAAAACTAGAATTTAAAACATATTACACATTATTCATCAATTTAATAGAAGTTTTAGGAGCTTTCATAAACCGTATATTTCTTATAATTCTATTGATAATTGCAAAAACGTAATGTTATGTAATATTGTATTACATAGTTTCAAAACCTTTAAAATTGATTTCTAATTAGACATTAAATATCAATTAATGAGAATATTTGAAAATTTTTATCAATTAATAAATGAAAATTTGCAAATTTGATTTTAATTTATCATATATTTGAAAAATATCAATAAATTTAGTAATTGACAAATTAATATTGCTCAATAAAAATGTAGTTCGTTTTGAAATTTATAATGAATAACTCTAGTGAATCAGGACTGATCGAAGCCGCACTATTGTATAAAAATAGTCTGTACAGTTTGTATAAAAGCGTATGTTGCTGATTTGGAATTAACTTTGTTTGAAGGATTACAACAACAAAAAATCAATTTTTAATTAGTGCAATGTATGTTTGCAACTTTGAAACAAACTGCGCGGAGGATTTCAATCCCAATTTCCGACTACGTTCTGAAAAGCCAACGTTTTCAGCTGAACCAGATTGAAAATTTAAAGCCGTACTCGCTCGGAGCGCAAATTCAATTAAATTTGATGAAAATTGACGAGGCAACGTAATAAACTGGCCTTGTTTCGCGATGCGGAGATAATACAGAAAGCAATTAGATACTAAAGGCAATTTTAATTGGATTCACTAGAAAACGAAAATTAAACCAAAAAAAAAGAACGAAATGCAGGAATGTGTATAATATATAACAGCAGGATATTCAACAAGTGAAATCTTAACCTTCCTCGTTTACTTAAGGATCTTTTTGCGCCTGCAGAGGTTGAAAACGTTAAAGTTCAAGTGGATCCTCGCGATGATATGATTATGTATTAATGCCTTAAGTGTTGGATCGATGGAGAGGAAAAAAACTGTATTTTTTTTTGCTTCCTGATGCAATTTTAATGCGGGATACCTCGTGCAGCGTATTTTCTCCCCTTCAGCTGCTGAAACATTCATTTCAGGTGGGTTGAGCGTATCGATCGGATTTCGTTCCCAGAGGGCGCCCGTTCTTGCAGGACAACAAACGCTCACCTCTGGAGAGTTTGTCCTAAAAATACGTCGACTGCAGCCATCAAACCTAATTCCATCTTTTATTGCTGCTTATGATTTATAAAACAATTTTGATTTACGCTTCCTGTCTTCGCCGTCAACAACGCAGATCCCTTTCTGGGATTGTTAATTCGAGTGCTGCGATTGTCGTCTATATTCGCATTCGACCTTTGTTTGCTTACTACTTCTTTTTTTTGTGCTTCTTATTTTTAAACTGCGCACGTTGTGACCTTATAGACTCAGCCCTATGTGATCTCATTCAATTGGACCACAAGGCTTTAACTACTCGAATTAGTTCAAGTCGATGTTTACGGATGATTTAATTCATCACTTCTTATTCGTATTCACAACAAAATTTATTGAAATTTTCATTTTGTAACTAATTATTACTTATTTATAATCAAAAAAATATAACTATACTAAGAATACATATACAAAATTACTTACTGGGAATACATTTTCCATAGAATTAAATTTGTATAATTAATGAGTTAATTAACATACATGTTCAATAAATATTTAGGAAACCAATGTACTATTTCTGATTAGTTACATAGTTAATATTAGATTCTACATCATAAAGTTAACGGTAATGTTACTACTTTTCATACATTATTACCATTGGAAAATCTTAGATAATTTTGTTTTCATTGGAAGAAAATTGTATTTTGATTAATTTCTAAATCTATACTAAAATTGAAATAAATACAAAAAAAAAATTGAATATTTATATCAATTTAAAAAATAATGTATTAATGAAATAAT